GAAGCCACATTTTTACCATCCACATCTTGGTGCTTTTTACCTATTTATATAATTTTAACTGGATGGAGGACTTTAATCATCGGCATTGTGTAGTAAGTCCTGCAGTATCGTCAAGTTCACTAATGCCAAATCCTTCTATGTTGTGATAAAAGTTGAATATTTTGGGACATTATGACAAACAGTGTCACAAACATTTCCTCATGCTGATGGGCAGTCCCACTATTATTCTGACAGGATTTGTAGTGTGTATCTTGGGCCTGAGCCCACTGATGTGTTTACAGGCTGTAGCTGTACGTGTGTTTATGCATCCGTTGTCTGTTTATATTTTGCACTGTACTCCCTGCACACAATATGCTGCATGTGCTGTAACACTTTTCCAGGAGGTTAATGCTTAAAAGTGTCAGTCCTGACTGCAGCTGGCCCTAATGAACAGGGCCCAGGTCCCCCACTGACTATTATCCACCCCTACCCCCCGATAGACACTACATGTCACATGGAAAGCGTCAAGTCCACACATCTGAATCAATGCATTACACTAACGAACATCTTCAGGATTATCCCTTTACACATTACAGGTTCAACTGTGAACATTGCACATTTCTGCACAACTCTCCAGCCTCAAAAACAGATATATTGCACATATTTTCTTTCATAATTATACTTTATTACTTTCTAATTCCTGAACTACTTCCTATTCATATTCAGGTACTCACTTTTTACCTTCTTTATTGTCTCTCTGTTAATCGTTGCATCAAAATACCAACAAATTCCTTGAATGTGAAAACCTACATCAATAAACCAGATTTTTAATTACTCAGTTCTTTTTTTCCTAAGATGGTGGGAGCCCCACAAGGAGTGGCACAGTGAACCCCTCCGTCCACAATGCCCTTAAGTAATAAACAAACAGTTGAAATGCAGTGTTTGAACTACTTTTTAAGTATATCTTATAAACTATCTCTGCAGATGTTTGGTATTCTGTTTATTTTGTGTAGTTGTTGTGGACAATTTTTGTAGTACCTGTCTCTCCCCACAGACTGTCAGGTGTATTGATCTCAGGTCTCTCCTCATCTTCCTCATCTTCCTCTGGAAGATCCAGCAGGTATGACAGCATCTACACACAGACACACACACACACCACACACACAATAACAAATGTTACAAACATATCAGCAATAACAGGATTTTATGATTCAGTATCACACAATATTATAAAGGTGTGTGTGTGTGTGTGTGTGTGTGTGTGTGTGTATAGCTGACCTCTGTGTGGCCCATGCTGGCTGCTGCAATCAGAGCCTGCTGCACCGCCTGGCACCTGCTCGCCCCCCTCTGGCCGCAGCAGGAGGTGCAGCTCCAGTCTGCGTGCTTCAGCAGGAAGCACAGCACCTCGAGGTGGCCCCGCTGAGCCGCGTGCACCAACACACACCGACCGGAGCTGTCCACATGACCCGCCTGAGTACACGGGGGGAGACACAGACTTAGATGCAGTGTCCTGTGCACAGGGAACACTGTGCAAATGGAAAACTGTATGAACATTGCTTCGCAGCAGTGACACCACAGCCTCATCTCAACACACACATACAGTAAAGGAACACACACACACACACACACAATGCTTGAGCTCCAGCCAATCACTGAAACCAATCTTCAACAAATCTGCTTTGAAAAAAAGGTGCTGCATCACTTTTCTTTGACTTATTATTCATTATGATGGTAAAGTCTATTATAGGTATTCATAGTTTTTTATGTATTTACTTTTGATTAATGGTATACCTGTTTATCTGTACTTCCAAACAATGTATTATTCCTGTTTTATGTATTGTAGTATTTATGTATGGACATAAAGGGTTGGTGGGGCCAGTAGGGGGTAATGTGTGTTAAAACATTTGAAATGTTCTAGGAAATGTTTATAACTCAGCTGTAATGGAACTCTTCATATAAATATTGAAAAAAACTAAATAAAAAAAACAGTTGGAGACTGATTCTGATGCTGGAGGAGTGGGCTTCACACGCTGCTTGATGATCCAACAAGCACTTTATTTGAAGCACAATGACGCCTTAAGAACCCCGCAGATTTGTAGAACGTCTTATGTAACTGTAGCATCTCTCAAATGATTCTGATGGCACACGTCTGTTTGTAGAAACATGTAATGTGAAATCCCACAAAACCCTACAAATGATCAGTGGACATGAGGGGTAGTGGCGTCGGGCTGCTGTCTACCACAGTGTGATTCTTGATACGACCACGGGATGGCACTAGAGGACACATTCTTTAAATCCTCAAAGCTAGAAAATCTATCAGGCTGACAGCTACCTTAGCCTTGTGCTGACTCAGCATGGTGACGATGTCCAGATGTCCAGCTGCAGCAGCGAATCCCAGGGCGGTCAAACCATCATGTGACTGTGCATCCACCTAGAGATACAACACAAGAAGAATCAAGCGTGGTTGTACTAAATACAGAATGTTTCCATAAAGTCGGGTATTGAAGATATTGCAACGCCAATGATACCACAAACCTTGAAAATCCAGAAGAACTATAAAAACAGAAAGTACTTTTTACCTGAGCTCCGTGGTCGAGCAGCAGTGCCACAGCGTCACTGTGGCCCAGGTGAGCGTGGACACACAGCAGTGGGGCGTTGTTGAGGACATCACTACGGTAATCCACATCAGCCCCGCCCATAATCAGCAACCTGCTCACCTGGACAGGTAGGGAGCCAGGTTACAGTCCAACTGTATGCAAGTCTGCCAGTGTGTGTGGATGTGTGTCACTATGTTACCTTAATGTTGGGGGTGTAGAGGTTGCGCAGAGATGACACAGCGGGGCTCAGGCTCTCTGTGCTGTATGACAGCCACAGCCCCTGCAGAACTGAGGAGGAAACCCCAAGCTTCTTACTCAGACCCTGGAGATGAGAATAGATGTCACACAGAAAGACAGTTAGACAGGTAGATATATATATATATATATATATATGTGGACAATTTCTGTTTCAATAAATCCAGCTACTTGCTGGAAAAAAAGAAAAATTACTGTTTACACCAACCTGTCAGCTCAAGCTAGCTAACAGTAGCACAGAAACACGCCCTCACACAAGTAACATTAGCATAAAAATAAGTACCGTTAGCAAAAAATAAGTATTGTTAGCATAAGAATAACTAACATTAGCACAAAAGAAATTCCTGCTGTTCGCCTGCTACACAAGTTAAGAACACACAATCCCCCTCTGGATATTGTATTGGTAGCATCAGGGTGTATGCAAATCCTGCTGTTATGTAAAACTTCATATTAGATGACTAAACTTCACGCATATGTCAATACAAGATTTAATGGTATCATTATTATTATTATTATTATTATTAATAACAGCTTGTGTGTATTAATGAGTATCATTGGTAACATATAGAAACCTGCACGTACAATATTTATTTCAGCATCTTTTGCACTCTGCACCACTGCACTATTTATTAATGTTTTTTTGTTTGTTTAGAATTGTATAATTTTACATATTGGTCTATGTCTATTTTGTTAGTTTGTTGTTCTGTTTATTTATGCTCAGTCTGTGTCTGTCATTGAGAGCAAGATAAAACCAGAGTTAAATTCCTTGTATGTGTGCACATACCTTGCCAATAAAAGAGATTCTGATTCTGATTACCCTATTTCATGTCAAAATGGCTGCTGTGAAAAAGGTCTATTGTAAGGATTTGTTCATGAGTGCTTGTTTATATACCATTAAATATGATTACAGCAATGCTATACTGCGTTATCAATCTGCAATATCTTGGTGTGGGGCATCGTGCAATATTCCTGTGCATATGTTAACTGTAGTATTGATTGTACATGTGTGCTGTTTATTCACCAGTCACAGATACTTCATAAGTATACACTGCTATAAATGCTAAATGGGAGGTTAAAATAAAGTGTGAATGATATTTTAAGTATTATCTGCTACACAGGATTATAAAAATCTCTTCTCTGAAAAGTTATAAGCGTCACTGATCTAAGAACCTGGCAAATGTTTGCACCACTCATTAGACAGTCATATGCATGCAGTAACAGTTTGAGCTGTCACACCATGAAACAGGTGTTTGTTCCACACCAGTTTGTGTACAAAACTAACCACCACCTTAATAGCAGGATGCTAACAGCAAATTCTGCACTCCTATTTGGATATTGAACATTTTCCACCCATTACGTTTGCGATTCATGCAGTTGAAAGTGGCAAAACAAGTCCTCATGTCGGCCGTCTGCCTATACTGACTCACTTGAAGACTTTGTGTGGGTGTGTGTGAGCTAACCTTGTAGATGTGAGCCTTCAGGATGTGATGTCCCAGCTCCAGTGTCTGCTGTCGGTTCAACTTTCCTTCTTGTCTGCAGAGCCAGAAGGCCAGGAGAGTGTGACCGCTCCTGGAGACAAACAGAGAGACATCTCAGTGAAAACCTCTCTCTTGTCTTCCTCTGTCTTTTCCACCGTCTCTCTCGCTGACTGTCAGTGTACCTGGGATCGCAGAGAAACCTGTCGTCCTGACCCTCCTCTCTCCACATCAGCCACTCCCTGAAGGAGGCGTGGTTTAGCATCCTGCTGCCGTCGTTCCGCCGCAGCAGGAAAGAAGAGAGCTGCTCCAGGCGGTGCACAAACTCGCCCCAGTGCAACGTTCCTCCGCTCAGAGCGCCCGCGTTCACCACCTCAAACAGCTGGATGGGGAGAGGACAGGAGCAGTCACATTACAAGTGCATTGATCCATTTTCAACATGTACAGCCATGCTAGCAACTCTGTGAGGATAAGCCAAATGCTAATGTCAGCTTGCTAAATGCTTAAAATAATAGTGCTGACATGCTTATATCTGTAGGTGTAATGTTTACTATGTTCACCAACTTAGTTTAGCGTGTTAGCTAATAAGCGCTATACATTAAGCACAGCCGAGGCCGATGGGTGTGTACCTGCTGGTCGGTCAGTGGGTGCAGTGACGCCACAGTAACGTTGAGCAGTGGAAGAACTCTCTGAAAAGATGACTGGGTCGGAAAGCGCATGTTGAGCTGCAGCAGGTAGACCTCTGCCAGACTCACAGGAACCACCTACACACACACACACATTTAAAGTCTTCCTGTTTACCATCTATCAAACTGAATATGTCTACTGAAACAAACAATTCTGGTATCTAAATGACTACACATCTAAATGAGTCAGTTATTTATTCAATTGTGATGAAATGAATGAACTAATTAAGTGACATAACTCAACTGTTTAATTGCTTTCAGGACCTAATTGTCAACTGACATTTCAATCGCGTTCAGCCTTAAACTTTAACTGAAATTTCCCTTATTTACAAATAACCCTGTAACCCTTCAAGATCAAGATCACATCCCCAGTCATATTATCCCCCTATTTTACACTGTATGCCAGAAAAACAAAACATTTCTTTGGGTTTGTATATCGAAATCCAATAATTTTTCCTGTAAAACTAAATGTGACACATGCTCACGAACTCACTGATTCCAACCAATAATAACATGACATTCACCTGTCAATCAATCATTAACTTCTCTTCCAGCGTCCGAGACTAGCTGACATTAGCTGACTCAGTCATCAAACTGTCCTCCATTGCCTTTCCTATGATCGTTCATTTTACCTCCACACACCGTTCATTCTCCCCTCCTTCCCCCACCCCTTCCTCACCTTGAAGCTGGAGCTCTTGAGGACCAGGTATCCTCCCTCTATGAGATCCAGGGTCAGTTTCAGGTAGAGGTAAGAGCCCTTGCTCAGGCTCTTCAGGTGGCTGATCAGCTTGGCCAGTGCCGCGTTGTCAAGGCGGCCATTGCTCAGAGACACGTTGCTCTGGATCTCAGTGCTGCTGTGTATGCGCTGCATCAGGTAAACCTGAAAACAACAGACATGTATATGTACAGACAGACAGATATATCGAGAGACAGACAGACAGGCAGACTGTGTTCATGTTACCTGCAGGTCCTGGTCTATGGCGCTGTTCTCTTCCATCCTGTCTAGAGAGATGTGGTGAAAAGGCAGAGAAGCTGTGATGTCCTGATTGAGGAAAAGAAAAGGAAAGAGATTTTGTAAGTTCAAGCTTTGTTGTGCTCTAATTGACTGTTTGCTAAGCCCAGCCCCTCCTTAGTTACTTTTGCTACGCCAAGCTTTGCATACTCATATACAGTTTACAAAGATAAAGTCTGTAAGTTATGGTACGTAACTAATGTTCTATTTCATAAAGATCATCACCAGCGGGTTAAGGGCGAAGCAGGATATAGTCCATGCCCCACTGGGTCTATCCCCTGGGTTCTGGGTTTACAGGACAATCTTCTCATGATTTTTTTTAACAAAATAAGATTGAAGACGAATTATGACTGAAAACAATTCCTTTATGTCTCATTCAAAAATCACCAAAATATATTTTCTTATCAAATTATTGAACACTTTTATTTCTGAGGTAGGGTATTCCCTTTTTCTTTGCAAAAGTGAAACGGAAGTCTTTGTGCCTTCATATCACGATTCATTTTTCATCTCACTGATAATGCGTCACAGCGTCATATGTTATCTTATGTGCACAGATGGCACAGACAGTACAACACATGACAACATGAGGGAGTGAAGCTGGAAAACATAAAACCTACTTCAATGCTTTACTAATGTGTCCCAATAACATCATGTTTTTGAGTTCAAATATCTTCATGTGGGGCCTTTTCCAAGCAAATATTGATATATGTGATTGTTTGTGATTAAATCAGCACTGCTCTGTGATTAGTTTTTGTCTCTTTGTGTTGTGTTTTAGTTTTGGAAAGGACAAAGACAAATATTTTTTTAAAATGTGAAATGTTTGACTGATTAAAAACACAACCGTCTCATACCAAAGCCTAAGGTTTTATTGTGTAAAGTATTTTTGCTGCTAAGAAAAAGGAGTCATAAATCGTTGATTTTTGAAGGGAATTTAGCAATCATGAATACTGCTGGGTTGAACACAAGAGCTTATATTTGGTTAAAAATGCCAAACTTTGGCTGTTTTTGATTGTGTGTGTGTGTGTGTGTGTGTGTGTGTATACCTGCTGACTGGTCCTGACAGTGGTAATGACCTTCAACCAGGAAGGAAATTTCTGGACGTTTTGGGACAGGAAGGAAGTCAGTGTGTCACCGTAGTCCGGCCGGTGGAACTCTGCCTCGTTCAGCCCATCAATTAGTATAATAAGCCCCGCCCCATCCACGTGCAACTTCCTCTCTGGCAACAAAAACAATACAGAAAGAACAGGTTAAGTCCTGACCCTGGCTTTACAGAACAGAAGCTAGCAGAACGCAGTAGAATCCCTATGTACCCCTGTAGAGAGCGTCCAGTGGCTCCAGTATTCCTCTCTGGAGGGCAGAGCTCGGGTCCTGGATGCAGGAGCGCAGACTAAGCGTGCTCTGTAGCTGTGGTGACCGGTGCAGTAGCTCCCGATAGGCCGACAACTGAGGGGCGTCACTTAGCATCGCCGCCATGTTGTAGACGAACTCCGGAACCAGACAGGTGTGACAGTTATCAGCTTGACAGAAATGATATGAGACTACCTGCAGAGACGGACAGAAGGAAATATTTGCACGATTGTGGAGTTCTCTACAAGCTTTTTTAATTTCAGATACATTTTGTGGTGAAATGTATGAGTCTATGCACTACAAATCCAGTCTGTGTAGCATCCATATTAACCACCGTTTTTTTCAACATGTAGCTTAGATAGCTAGGGCTAAAGCTAGAGTGAGGTTACTGGTATTATATGAAACGAACTAGACCTAACGCATCCATTGGTACCAACCATGTCAAGAAGGAAGCTAAATAAAGCTCCACAGTTAATCTAAATTCTGGCAATGGAAAAATTGGCATGGCCATTTTTAAAGGGATCCCTTGACTTCTTACCTCAACATATCTGAATAAAAATGGGTCCTATGGGTACCCGCAAGTCTCCACTTTGCAGGCATGCCCACTTTAAGCAAATCCCATGCAGTTTAAACAAAGAGATTTTTGCATGTGGTTTTGTGCAATGTGTTATTTTTGCATAGTGTCTTGGAACTGCAAAATTATTAGGAATGACTGGAAAGCTGAAACACATACTTTATCCCACCCCTACATAAGTCAGTGCCCCACGTTTGCCACCCCAGTCAAAAAAGTCTGCTTCTGTCTCCAGTCTTTATGCTAAGCTAAGCTAACATCTACTGCCTCCAGGCACATATTTATAGTACAGACTGCTGATCAAACTAGAGTGAATAGTTTTACATGAGTGAAAGTACAGAGGTATTATTAACAAAATGTTAAACAAAAAGTATGAAAAGTAAAAGTACCAGCAGCAGAATGGCCTTCTCAGTTGTTACTGATTATTACTGATGCATAAACATATAAGAAGCACTTTAATGTTGTGGCTGTGCAAAGTAAAGTCTTAACAACTTTATACTGTTGGGCAGTTTAATCTTAACAATAAAATTTTATATTCTAATTATATTTTTTGTTTCTTTTTTATGTTAATGTACTTTGTTACTTTCAGTAAGTGCCTTCTAGTAATTTATTGTGTGATACACTAGATCTTCATTAAGTAAAGGGGGGATCCTACCTGTCCCGCAAGCCTCCTCAGTGCCTCCTCCTGTCTCCTCCTCATCTCCGGAGTCCCTGGACAGCTTCCTTCTCCTCCTTCCTCTCCTCCTCCCCCTCTCCCCAAGGAATCTTGGGAGAAAGAAACAGCCTCTACACCTGGAATGAGGGTCAGGGGAAGAATATTAGAGTTTTTCTATAAACTGTCCCCCTCTCTCTCTGTGGCTGCTTCTGTACTCTAAACTTCTGTACATTTCTACTGCTTTTGTGTATTTTTTCCACTGCGTGATTTAATGGGTTTCTCTGGTGGTTGGCTTGGCTGTGAGTCTGGTTGCTAGTTGGGAGCCTGGCTGATTTTATTGGGTTCTGCATGATGACTCAGCTGTCTCTTACAGAATGAATAATAACCTCAACCCGTGGCTGGAATAACTCACTGGGGGTCCTTTTGGCAAGCATGTGATACTGACTCCTGCCAACAATTTACTATGTCCCCTTCAAGCGCCTTCCAAGTACAGAGTATGCTGTATAAAATTAAGCAAACAATAAAACATTGCTAAAACGACAGGCTTTTTTTAGTCTTTCTGGAACTATGACTTCTTTTTGTTTCTGGACCTAATTTTACATCCTCTACATTTACATATTCTTGCAGATTTGCAATTTTGTTTGGCATTAACTGTCCAAACCCATGAATTAGGGATGTAATTCAAAGCTACCATCTATATCTATATTTGTTTGCCACAAAAACACCTGTATCTGGATCATTTTCTGTAATAAATTGTTTTCTACTGCCATTTATTTCCCACATACATATATGCATGAGGTAAGCTGCCAACAAAATATAGAAAATTATGTAAAAATGTTTATACCATGTACCTAAATCAAACAAATAAAGAAGCATCAGTTTTTTTATTTAAAAAGATTCTCGATTAAGCAGCTTTTACTAGTACTTGTACTTACTTGTTTTCACCTTACAAATAAAAATTACAAAACTGTCAATGTCACTTAAATTGACTAAAACTACTTAATCAAGAATGTGTTTCAACTTACAAAATTGAGTTAGTTTTATTTATAAAATTCAATGTAATTAGTTTTAACAATTTCTTGAGTTAAGTTAACTGATTTTACAGTATGAATAATAGAATCAGAATTGCACTGGGCCATATTTTATATTGCATTTTCTTCAAATAAAATAGGAGGAAGTCCAGATGAAAACAGGCCATACTGTAACCAAGTAAGTAATTCCAAAGTTGAAGTGTGTGAAAAAAAAGGAGAAAAAGCTTTTCACAAATATCTGAAAATCTCTTGGCCATTTTGCATGCACTAACTAGAGACAGTCCCCAACTCCAGCTCATCATTTTCCGCCAGCTGTCATGTCATACAAGGTGCCAGGTTTCATTATCAGATCAGGATGTAAAAATAACATCTGTGAAACATCAGTCAAGCTTTATTCTGCAAAGTTAAGGGATGAACCTCGCTATATATCTGTGTATCTACATCATGTTGCAAATCTATATCATGGAAAGTCATGCTGTTTTGGCTACTAGCAGGTTGATACTGAAGAAAAGGTCTGAATCTGATGGGTATTTGACAAGATCTGATGTTATTTTATGATTTCTACAAGGATTTTTAGACATTTATCCTCAGTGGACATCTCTGTAACGTGTAGGTGCCACAGACAAAGCCTGTATAATGACTCTGAGAAAAAGTGGTTGCAGGTCAGTAGGAAGAAGTGGTAAAGGGGTTCATTATCTGTTGCTAGCTGAATAATGTACTCATATTCATTTACTATGACTCTCACCTTACTGTGAATCCACACATCATTTGCATGAGCAAGCATGGTTATGATTCATGAGGTCTGGATCCAGACTGGTGGAATTTTTATGGTCTTCTTGAGAATGTGAGGTGCAGACCAGTGGGAGCTTCAAAACAATGTTTCAGCTTCTCATCACGGAAGTGTCTGAAGCTTGAACTTGCAGGATCCACTTCCTCAGGCTGTGAGACTGTTCTTCCTCCTCCTCATTAATACATTTTTATTTGTATTATAATTATTTGGCATAATGGCAACTATATCTGAATTTAATTCTACAACCTTGCCAGTAAAATAACCTTGAATTATATATAAAAAAGTACAGGAAACAATACAAAATGTAGTTATGTGGATGTGATTTGTGAAGGTTAACCACATATTAACTTTGAAATTAGTTAAGAGATGAACGCTTTGTGTTGAAAAATTAAGATTAACCCATGGACTGGTTGAGATGAACAATTGTATTTTGTAAGCAGATGAATATTGTAATGTTGTATGTTTTATATTTATGGTCATTCATCTCTCTTGTAAATTTCTGTATCAACCAAATATTATAGAAAGATGATGCTAATCTTACATAGTAAACCTTGTATACAGGTGATCTGTAAGTAACTGTAGTGACTGTAGGGCTGCAACTAATGATTATCTTCATTATTTATTAAGCAATTAAATGTCGAATAGGATGACAAATGTTCAGGTTCAAATCATCCAAATGTCTCGTTTTGTATAAAGATATTCAGGTTAGTGTCACAGAGGACAAACAAAACCCAAAAATATTCACACTTTCTTAAAAAATTTCTCAAAATGATTAATCAATTATAAAAGATAGTTGGTGGTTCATTCAATAGTTGACAACTAACTGATTACAGGATTAATTATTGCAGGTCTACATGACTGTACGAGTGAAAACAATGAATGAAATGAAAACAAGACATTTGGTCAATAAAGCACAGTGTGGAAAAGATCCAACAATCTCTCTGTGCTTACGTTTAGGCATGGTCTGGTTGCCGGCAGCGGTTGGCCACATCCGGTTTCCATGACAACTGAGCGCCACCAGACGGGCGATGATGGCTGTTTTTCCAAAGCCCATGTTTCCGACGATCACCACGCCCCGACTAATCGATGGGTCGCTACTGCGAAGACAAGCATCCACTTCCTGGAAAAGCCACTCCCTGCCGGTGAACAGCCAATCAGACAAGAGACTGGGAACCTCAAAGTGGAGTGGCTTCAGGTTGAGAGAGGGAGTGAAACGAACTGCTGGAGAGGAGGGGAAGAATAGTGTTGTAGTAAGTATTGTACTACTGCTTTTAAATGGCTGTCTGTAAGTGTTTGTATGTGTGTGTTTTAATGCATTTACCTCTGGGGTCCTGTTGACTCCGACTCCCAGAATTCTGTCTGGGCATTCTGAGGGACGTCCTTGAAGGGATGTGTCTCTGCTGCTCATCCAGATAGGCTAGATCTTCAAGGTGGGCAGAACTAGTGGCTAGAGGGAGAGAATTAATAAGAAAGTTAATGTTATGCATAGACAGTAGCACTTTTAAGTTTTGGATGGGCATGAAACTCTTCTGGTTTGATATCATCAGTACAAAAGATGAACAAATATCTTGTTTTCTTGATAAAATGTCAAATGGACATGGAACTGGTGTAAAGGTTCAAGGTCCAGTGTGTAAACATTTAGGAGGATCTTTTGGCAGAAATGGCAATTATAATATTCATATGTTTTCATTGCTGTATTTTGATCACCTGAAAAATCAAACACTTAGTCTTTTTGTGGTTGTGGTCTTGTGGTTTTCACCTAAGCACACTCGATGCCACCAAACCATCTTGATCTAAACCACAACTGTCCTTGGGAATTTTGATAAGTAGTTTTTTGTGTGCAGTTTAAAAAATATTATACTGCATTCCAATTGGACATCATAAAGCTTTAGAGTAGTTGGTAGGTGGACATGTCTTCACTTGAAGAGCCAGGAGTGCTGTTTCTCCTGCTTCAGTCTTTGATGCTAACTGATAGGATAAAACATTGTTACTGACGCTATGTTTGAAGTAAAATTATCATTGTGGAATTATAGCTGTGTCATATATGTACTGACAGGAATAGATCAAAATACCACTTCTATATCTGATTATCTTAAACATGAAGCTACAGCCTATGGAGATGGTTAAGCTTAAGTATAGTCCACGGATAAGATAGCTAGCCTTTGGTTGGGGTTGTCTGTCCAAGGGTAACAAAGGATATATATATGCCTTTCTAAAAGGAATCACATTTAGTTAGTTCAATCTGTACAAAAACCATAATGTAAAAACTGATGAATATTTCCTGGCCTTGAGCAGTGACTTTCCTGACTTCTCCGCTGGTTGCCTTTAGGCAACATCACGGTTGTTTGACAAATCTTTCCTAAATGGTGTATAACTTTACAGTTTGTATAATCAGTGCGTGTCTTGTTGCTATCTTTAATCTATATCTATGAAGCCCGAGTTGCGAGAGCGCGAGCGAGGATCAAATTTATTGTAGTGCCATGGAACTCGTTAAGCTATACAGCTATTGATTAGCACAGTGTGAGAGAGAGCAAGAGCGTGGGTATAGATTCTTAGAGATCACAAACAAATTACCCATGGTTTGATATTTACACTGAACAGTGCCTTGTTCAATAATCTTGTTATCAAGACCTACGCATTCCTTGTGGTAATTGTTTTAGATTTCTGATGTTAAGTAACATGTAAGGGCAAAATCCCAAACGTTGTCTTCCTTTTTTTACTATATAGTTAGTTAAGTGAATGGTTATCAGGTCAGAACTTGTAGGATGTTCGGCTTCACTTCCAGGACTATCGTCGCTCTTAAGCTGGATTTTACAAGCTCTTGATTCGATGTTGTGTAAACTTTGAATTCTTATTAGTTACTTCTGACAAAAACAGACAGAAACCTACCGAACGTTTGATCCAACCTCAACACTCATGTTGTGAGTCGAATCCACACAGTATTAATGTCTAGGGCGCTAGCTTTGCTTCCGTTTGTGAATCCTGAGGTCGCATTGTGATGGTGTTTTAGTGTTATGGGAAAACTTGAACATACATGTCACTTATCCTTCCTTTCCAAAGCTTTCAGTTTTTTATATGAGACACAGTGTGAGGAGGATAAGAGGAAAAGGTGAGGATAGATGTGGACATGTGCTGGGTACTGGGCGTTTTCCTGGTGTCTTGTTAACTTTTTACATTTACTAAACTTACATACATGGAGACTACCATGGTGATGAACCGTCGTGGTTAGCCGAAGCGGTACCAACAAATATGGTAATTATAGATTTAAATGCTTTTATATATATGGAGTGAGTTAATAACTCATGTTTATGGTAGATAGTTAGGTATGCATTTAATCCTGAAATAGTTGGAGACCTTGATAGGCTAGGTTTACCGTTTCCCCCGCTTTCCTAGTGCTTAATGCAGTGAAAGGTAGGCTATGGAGACTCGCCTACATCCTATAACAACCTATAGACTAAGAGTTTAATTTATCTATATACTATCTATCGTCTCTTTAGAAAGGAGAGAATTATAATGTGTACTTCCAAGTTATATAGGCGTTATATTTAAGGCTGCACGTGGTCATTTTTATAAATCTATAACTATATATTTTATAATATTTGCTGAAATGGCTTTCTATGTAGAGTACATGAGACAGATAATATATAAAAAAACAAAACGGGTCCTTCTGGCTCAGTGTAGCACTCTAATGGTATTGCAAGAATTCACTGGGCCTGAATTAATGTTGAAGTTGCCTCTTACATATCCAGCAGAATATGGCCGAGCAAGTTTGAATATGTGGAGGCAGCAGTAAAGCTACAGGTCTTATAGTAACACAAATAACAAATAGCTAAATGAAAATGCTAATAATAAGTAAGTTTGAGGACGCTTGCAGGTTATGGTGATGTATTTTCTGAGTGGAATCAATAATGAGTGGACCACTTGCATATGAGTACTATTGAATTGTCTTTTTTTTATTGGTCCATATAATATTTTTCTTATAAGTTTAGTGTGCACTTATATTTTTATGCGTATATGATGATCACTCTGTTTATTGGTATTTTATAGTATATTTTTTTTATCTGTGTTTATTGTACTTTTGTTATCCAAATTTCATTACTGATGCAATCCTTGTATAAGTGAAAACCTACTTGGCAATAAACCTGATTCAGTATTCTGAAATACGAGATCGAGTGGAGCTCATTATTGTCCAAAACATCTCATGAAGGTATGCCTTATGTTGTTGTGAACTACACAGGCAATGATTGTTAGAATCTTGTTTGTATTAGAGATGAAGGTGAAATGAGGCTGTTTTTAGCGTGGTTAACGTGTATATAGTCCTACTGTTTGATAGGAGCCCTGTTTTTAATCCCAGAGTGTACGACATAATGTGTAAGTAAGGCTTGTGTGTCTTCACGGTATAACTACGTGAACGTCACCTATAGTTGAGAGAAGAGTGATGTAATTCCTTCCTCACAGGAAAGGGACGTGTGTGGGAGTGTGTGGGGATGCGTCACTGCGGACGGAAATTGATCACTGAGCTTCGAGCAACACATCATCTACACACTCACACACACACACACACAATCATCCATTTGCCATCTTACCAGCAACCGAATTGGGCCGGGGCATGAGGTAGAGAGGGATGGAGTGGGTGGAGCCTGATGAGCGAGCGGAGCCGGGGCCTTGGTCTGGGTGGAGTTTGTTGAGGCTGTAAGTGGAGGCGGCCATGTTGTCCTCCACCCTGTACAGGAAGCCGTCATTCGCTCTTCCTGCTACCATGCAGGAAGAGGAGGTGGAGGCCACCACCGGCCTGCCCACCTGCTGCCAGAGGTTCAGGCTGCTGCCATGGTAACTATCACTGGGATACTTGGCACTGCCGTCCCGCTCCGCTGCCGACTCAGCGGAATAGCTGGTCAACGTGGCTGAAAGACAGAAAAGGTTAACCATTTGGCAGTGCGAGGGTTTCTTCTTGAAGGAGCTGTATCTACAGTGAGTCACCTATGATGCCGCTGTCTCTGCTCTCCAGTGTTGAGGTTGGGGAGGTGACGGAGGCGTTGTTGGAGGAGGCGTGCTTGTTGTTGTTGTTGCCCTCCCCTCCAGCAGGAGGCTGCAGTGTGGAGCAGGGGGAGGTGCTGCTACTGGCCAGACTAGAGGAAGGAGAGATCCTCTGTGGGAAAGAAAAGATTTTCTTACTGTTATAATCGATCATATTAATCAGTGTTTGGTTTATATTGCATGTAAAAAGATAAAGCATGTTTACATTTTAATTTGAAAGAGCAGAAGTATGAGAATAAAGAAACTTTTACTTAATATCCAGTTATGTGATACAACATGTACATACAATATATTTATACAGTTTAAATACTAGCCTGCATACTGTACCTGTACAGTGCATCCAATATACAGAGGCACATCAGTTTTTGCTATAGCAAAGGTATTGATATTTGCAGATTCTACATCTCAGTGCTACATCAGATTGCTGTTTTTAAACTGTTACATCTACCTATACAATTAAAGATGCTTTAAAGAACCTTTTGCTACATGTATTCTACTTTTGGTATTTGAAGTAAATTTCTAATTTCTTATAATAACAATAATACATTTTCTTGAGTAATCTCTCTCAAATTTGTGGTCGTATTCAAATGATTGCATTAAATACACCAACCAGCCATAACATTGTGACCCCCTGAGCACCCTGGTCATAATGTTCTGCAGCCTCATACCAACAAACTGTGATACACTGTGTGTTCTGA